ATCTTTCTTACTGTTTAGTGTACTCAAACTGGCGTAGTTTATTAAAGACGCAAACTCCTCACTGCACAACAGCTGCGCACCTTCAGCAGACCTCCTCATTCCTGCAGCACGAGAACATTATGATTGTTTATGAGCGGCAAAAGTGGCAGATCTGTTCGGCGAAATATTTGACTGCGTGTCACCACATCCCTAAGGACTGTTTGCGAAACATTTGACTGCATGTCACTGCATATCAAACGACTGAAACGATATAACTAGAGAAATCTCCACTGTGCTGCTGAGTGAGTGAGAGCGCTTCTCACTGAACAGCGCAGCAGCGATGACGTAAGCGTGCCGAGGCCCGATATGGTGTGAGTGCGGGGCGTCGGGGGAGAAGGGAGGGGGGACAAGCGTGCTTTGGCCCGGTTCGAGGCAACTGTACCTAGTGTGAGTACAGCCTTAGCAGCAATTCTGTTTCCTTTGTCTGTAGCACTACACGTTCAGGTGATTTAGTCCTCTTTTTGTTGATTAATATGACTGTGGTGCAATAGCGATGATATGTGCAGTTGTCTGCAGAGTTTGCTAAATTGTTTTTTTCTTTACATTTACAGAAAGACACGATGACAAATTCTCTCAGTTCTCTGGTAGTGGAGTCATCATTGCAGGTATGAATGACATAATGAACAACTTTCAGAGTTTGATCAGTATCCCTGAAGACGTTACAGTGGCTGTCCTACCTAATCCAGGTAAACTCTTGATCTTCTTTTCCTGACAGAATTCACAAAGAAATGATAGATTTTGATTTTAACACTTTGTCATTTATTTGATTGCTCAGTGGAGCCTGATGCTGTTCGCGATGAAGAGGACATGTCTATAGACTCTGAAGATGACATGCCAGTCTCCGATACTAACATTCAGACAGAAAAAGACCTAACAGAACCACATGCACCTCAACCCCCTCCACCCCAGACCGATGGATTTCGTCCTCCCCTTCCTAACCAACCATCTTTGGACCCCATAATGGATCCACTTGTTCTTCCAAACCCCTCTATGTGCCCTAGCCAGGGCTCTTTCTCAGATTACGCAGCTTTGAAGTCTGCCATAGCTCTTTATAAAGCTGCCAGTCAAGAGAGTGCATCTAGGCCTGAAGTAGAGGACACCCTGACCAGTTTCGGTGTGAACCCCCACCAGAGCTACCTGTGTCCCAGTTCATCACAGTGGAGCCCTTACTCTGGTTCTCCTGCATACCACATGTCCTCAGCATATTCATCTCCAGTCCAAGTGGCTTCCAGGGGATCAGATTATAGTCAAAGTGTTGCTCCTCCTGGGGTCCCACCTCCTGCAAACACCCTGACCCTACCCATTGGCCAACCGCTTCCCATTCCCCCATCCTTCCCTCAGCCCCCGGTTAGCTTAGTGGAGGTGCTGCCTCCTGTTCCAGAATCAGTCTCGTCTCTTCAACCACCTGGACACATTGCTGACAGTGTGGGAGTGCCTGGGGTGGAAATGGCAATCACTGCTAATAAGCAAGGACATCCAGGCTCTCAAACCATTAAGAAAGATGTAGAGACTCCATCTTCATCTTCTACTTTTTCTTCATCCTCTATTCGCACCACTTTTCCCTCTTACCCAGAATCCACACTCTTTCCAGCCCTCACTCCAATTCCCCCTGTTCCACCGCTTTACAACTGGGGTCCCACACCAGGAGGCCAGCACAGTTTCACGGCTGGACAGAGCGGGGCAGGATTTAGTGCTTTACCTTCAACCCAGTCTGAGGCCGCAAAACCCACAGATGGATCATGGATAGGAGCCACAGAGAGTGGGACCTCTCAGGAACAAGAGGAAGAAAAGGCCATGACTTCAAGCACCTCTAAAGTAGGACAGCAAGAGGGCATCGGAGAGAAAGACAGTGCATTGGCTAGTTCAAGTTCTTGCAGCCAAGGCAGCAGAACTCCAGTGAACTCGTCATCAGAGAGTCAGGGTGGCAGTCAAGCCCCTCCTGCCAGGGGTGGCATTTCCAGCAGAGGACTCTTACCCCTCCCTGGAGCTCCAATGGGAGCCATGTGCCGAGGTGGACACAACAATAGCATGTACAATCCCAGAGGGGGTCCCCCTGATATGATGCGGGGTGGCTTCAGGGGTCGAGGAGTTCCACCGCACCCTATGAGATCTAGACCGGGTAGGGGTCACATCAGAGGAGGCCCATCCTGTAATTGGGGCTACCCGCCTGGGAGGGGAGGGGGTGGACGGTCAGACTACTATTCGGACTACACTTACAACTGAATGCCATTGGGATGCCATGCTCCCTCATAGACTACTGGCATTAGGAATGTACATACTTAACAATAAGAGCACATCAAATATCTGAAATAAAGGAAAAATGAAATCTGGTTTCGTATTAATGAGATAGTGACTCAGACGGTGGCCAGATTTTCACTGTTTTCGGTAATGCTCTTCCTAAATGAGATGTTTGAAAAACCTTGTTCATACCACTATATTTATATTGCCAAGAAATGTAATTGCCTTTCAATGTTTCATTTTTGTCAATACTTTTTGTTTGGATTTTCAAGGAGAAAAAAAAAACGGTTTGTGAACAAGGAGCAAAATGCAGACAATATTTTTTTAAAAGATGAAAAGTGAGTCATTCTTCATTTTAGCTGTTTTTGGTTTTTTTACATTCTTGGTTGTACAGATGTTATATTAAAACAAGGTTGTATCAAACATGATGTCCTGTTCAGTATTAAATCAAAAGCACAAATGTGTGAACTCTTTGTACATGTACATAGATATTTATGACGCTATATAAGAAATGATTAGATTTTCTTTTAAATGTGATTAATGAATGCCAATGTTGTTTCATAATGTGCATTGGCAAGTATTTAACCTAGCGGTTTAAAAGCTGACCAGCAGAGGGCACCATTTCCTAATGAATTCTGCTGGTCTGAAGCTGATGCGGTGTTTGTCAAAAACAATTTTTTTTTTTGTTAAATATATTCTGAAATTTATGCACCTTGATTTAAAAACAGTGATTCAATTTGCCCTTAACATGAATCTGATTAGCTGCAGTTCTGTAGAATATTTCTCAGGGCATTTTACAAATGTTACTAACAGATAAACAGCTCTGTCTCTGAAAACAATGTGTACGAATTTGTTTAAAACACTCTTTCTCTTTCTATATTTCATCCTAAGTGGTGTCAGCTGTAGCTAGGATGAGAGATGTTTTGTTTTGGGTCACATATGGGAGAATTTGAGTGTGTGTCTATTTTACACTTTCTAAAATTGCAATGAAACTACAGTGTTTAAAATTACTGGGTATGAATATCAGTGGTTATATATTTTTGAAGTGCATTTACATCTTTTTGCTCATTAGTTCAATATGTGGGTCACCATTTTGCATCGCCAAAGCTCTTTTTTTACTATCGTGCTTCAGTGCAGGTTAGAAAGAGAGCAAATCGTGTTTGCGGCAGAAGGGGACAAAAAAAAAAGAAAGCTTAAAGGATTAAGAGAAGGCTGAAAAAATAGCCAGTACCTAGTTTGCCCCAAAGAGTAATCTGCTAAAATCTGACCTTAGGTCATCTCATCTCTCATTTGATATAGTTATCTTTCAAAAGAACACTAGTATTACAAACACAACACAGAGGTAAGGCTGGAACTAGACAGTACGGGTTATAACTGCAAAACTGTTTGATAGGAAAGTTGCTTTTACAAATCAAGAATTTCTGTTTTGCTCTTTTGCACAGACTTGATTTGAAGGTGAATTTCATGATAGTTCATTTGGTAAGCCTGATGACTTTGTTAAACAACTGCTGATGTGTATTCAGTTATGTACAGCACAGGTGTCAAACTCCGTTCGAAAAGGGCCAACAAGTGCACAGTTTAGTTCCAACCCTAATTAAGCACACCTGATTAAACTAATTGAGTCCTTCAGGCTTGTTTGAAACCTACAGGTAAGTGTGTTGGAGCAGGGTTGGAACTAAACTGTGCAGGGCTTCGGCCCTCCAGGAATTGAGTTTGACACCCCTGATGTACAGGTTTAAAGAGACAGAATATCACATTGACATTTTTTTTTTTAAAATAAAGCTGGTGCATTTGGCAGAGCTTTGTGAACATCATGCAGCTGACGATCAGCCAGGGGACACGTGTCAACGTATTACGAATGTAAAAGTGGGTTGCCGCAGATAAATCTGATCACATCTGGAAATGGACTGGATGGATTAACTCTGTACCTTTGCCTGGGTGCTCATTCATTTTCATATTTTGCTTTTAGTTTGCATACTGTGCATGGTGTGGGAGGGAAAATTCTGGCATGGGTGTTAATCCTCTCCCATAGCACATCCCTGCAATGAAAGAGCAATTTGCTTAATGCAAAGTGCTGAGATGAATAATATCTCACATAAACAGACATCACTACATTGCCTTCACTTTTCCATCTTCTCTCCTCCTAGAGGTATTCACTAGTTGTGAGCTCATAACGCATTCATTTGTGCTTATTTACATGGTTTTAGAACTTTGCGACCATGTTATTTTGACATGCGGGATTAAATGTATCTAATGTTAATGACGCAATTGAAGGGATTAAACCTCGATCTTAAATGGCTCTAGATTGAAAGCTTTTAGTTGAGAATTTAGATTACAGAAATGACCTGCCTGATTATAGTGTATCTTCAGCACCTAGATGTTTTTGACAGCCTTTTAAAGGAGTTTCTGGAAACTAGCATGAACAGCTTGCGGTCATCATATCTTGTTGTCATGTCGATATTGTCATGGCAATCCAAAAATCTTTTGTACATGACTGAGCTTTCAACCTTTCAGAGACGTTCCTACTTCAATACACATGCTCAGATGATACATTTGCTGTATATTCCCACTCATTCAGCATAAAAAAGTATCACTGCACACTGTGAGACAGAAGACAGCCTTCAAATCTGAGGAACAAAGTAATTTATTAGAGAATTATGACATTAATTCGTGTTGCTTGTCCCAGTGATTCAAACAAGCAGGATTTTAAGGTCACAAGTTAGCTACTCGAAGTCATTTCTTTCTCTAAAAATCGTGAAGTTTTCAGTGTCCCATTCAATTGCTGGCTGTTCAACAACAAATGCAGCTTTTGGATGGCCATTTTTCCCAGCCATGAGTGGCTCAAGGAACACTACGTGCCTGTCGGACTGAGACTTGCTTTTCAGCCGATCGGTTGAGGGAGCAGCAAATATAGAGGCCAGATTGCAGCGGTTTTCCCCAAAGGATGAGATGGCTGGAGATGGAGGAGGAGGTTTGCAGCAACCACAACGGCATGGGGTTAAATACAAATACATCAATATCAGGACAAGGGTCACAACACAGCCTAAAAGAGTGGTGTAGCCGGTGTTGAATGTCTCCTCTGTGGAGTGCTGGGCTACCACAGTTAAGTTCACTTCTCGGGATTCATTGATCATCCTTGTGTTATCGACAGCAGTACACTGGTAAATCCCTGAATCTACAGACTGGGCGGCAAGAATATCCAAGCTACCATCTTGATTGAGACGTAGAGTCCCGTTCTGGATCAGATACGAGATGTTCTCTTGGTGAGGAATAATCCAGCTGTAGGACAGGTCTTCTCCGTTTAGTGTCCCCGTACAGTCCAACCGCACTTGTTCACCCTCGTAAACAACTTTATCAGCCTTCGGGGATATCAGGGATATCATCTTCCCAACTGTGCAATTCTCAAAGAAATGCAAAGAGCGCATGAAATTAATCGAGACTTGAGGCTCACCGTACATCAGACACTTGTAGTTATCCTTGTAGTCTTTCACACTTTGGTAGCCCTTCTGTTCCCAGTGCCAAAACATGCGGTATAGAGAGCAATCACACTCCAGGCTGTTGTTGTGCAGGTACAGGCCTTTTTGCACAGCGACAGGCAACAGCACAATGTCATCCATTGGCAAGCGAAACAGGCGGTTTGAAGAGAGGTCCAGCGTTACCAGACTGGGGTGGCTGTGCTTGCGAATCGAGAAGAACGGGAAGTCTGTGATTTGGTTCAGGCTGAAGTAAACCTTTCTAAGATTGCTTAGACCCATTAGAGTGTTGCTCTCCACACGTGTAAGACGGTTGTTGTACATCAGGAGCACCTCCAAGGCTTGCAGATCCTGGAAGTGATACTTCCCCACTACTTGCAATTTGTTGGAAGAGAGGTCCAGGTATCGTAGACTAGTAATGTTATGGAAAGCTCCTGGGCTAAGCAAGGAGATGCGGTTATGAGACATATGCAAAGTCTGCAGCCTTGGGAGTCCGTAGAAGCTGCCGGCTGCCAGCCATGTTAGTCTATTATGACTAAGGTCCAGGACAGAAGTTGTGAACGGAAGCGGGTTGGGAAATCTATCCAGACCCAAAGAGCCACAGTTCAGTATGTCAGATGTGCACAAGCAGCCCTGAGGACAACTAGCTCCTGAAAACTGAACTGAGAGCAGGATCAAAACCATGCAAGATGTCGAGGTCATTCTTTTGGTTGCACGTAAAAAGGATTACATCAGGAACAATGCTGGCACAGTTGGAGATGAACTCGATACAGGAAGCTCTACGGTTAAATCCTACAAATGTTGTTTTACATCTGTCATATCCTCCAGCATTTCACAGATGGACATCAGCAGATGGCGGAATCTGGGGCAAGGAATGGACTAAGCCAACTAAAAAAAGTCCTCAATTACTGTGTTTACATTTATGTTTAAGGATAGGTATTTTAATTGGTTAACATACTCCGTTAACACAGCATACATAGGAAAGCCTACCAGTCACTCAGAACCTTCCTGAATCTGGTTCCTCGGTTCTGACTTAGCTGTAACAATCCATAGTAAGAAGTTGTTCAAACCAAGTATCCTGACCTGGAAACCTCCAGAAAGTCCAGTAAGTTTTATGTAAATATCCCTAAAAGCAAACTCGCACCTTTCCCGATTCTCCTGAGGCTGAGCGCCCTTGTTGTTTGCAGCGTGTCCTTTCATTGAGTGATGAGCCCAGAGAGTGCAGCACTAATCTCTATCCTTCCCTCTGTTTCCTATTCAGAGCACCGCCTCACGTCTCTCCCTCTCACACTGTGATTATTCCCGATATGACTCTCTCTTTCTATCCTTCTCTCTCTTGGTCTCTCTCCCTCTTCGATTGTTTGGTTCTTTAATCCTCTCTGGATTTTTTTTTTCCATTTCCATTTTTTCTATCCCTTAACAGGATTTCAAATGCTGTGTTTGTAACGTCTAGCATTTCATGAAAATCATCAAAACATTTGGACTTGGATGAGAGAGAATTTGTTTGTGTAGAATGAGGTACCAGTCAGCTTATAGACCTCAGCTTTGACTCCCCCTCATCTCCGCTGCCAGGCAGCGTTTGGCAGCTGTTGTCTTGGTCATGGTGGTCCCGAGGGAGCTGACTGCTGTCACACTGCATCGGTCTTGGTTTGTTTATGCTTCTCCATCGGCCTTGGCAGTGTGTCACCAACACTGTCATCATCTTGTACATCTGGATGATAGTTCATCTATATCATTTGAATGTCTATTTTTATACACCAGTTCAGATTTAATTTGACTACATGAACATTAGTACATTAGTAGACTTTTTCGATTAAGGTTAACCTTTAGATTACCCCACCCTTTGCAAATAAAATATTACAGGCACCTTCAATTTATGTCCAAGCTTGTTTGTAAATCTATTGTTGGATGCAAAATCAGGCCTAAGAAAGCATGCTTTGGAATGGAAAGCACAATCTTGGAGTCAGTACGAGGTAATCAGTCAAAGCATGTGTGACAAATCTAAAAGTGTGAAATGGAATTAGGATGTTTGTTTTTATAGTGCCATTCTGTTAGGGTGGCATCTCTTCAGAAACAATGACACACGGCGTAGATACAGCTGGCAGCAGTCACACTGACAGAAGCAAAGAGTGCGCCCACACACACAAGACCAAACACTATGATATGTCTTACAGTTCTGCAGAAAATGACTGGAGACAGCTTCACACAACTGATCTACTCCACATTCACATGATGTAGGCACGTGAAATTCTGAATGCGTGGGGAATTATCTGACGGAGGATTCAGGTGAAGTGTTACATTTTCTGTGACAACAAACCATTTAACATATTCTGACTTATTATACTGAAATCAATACTTCACTGACCTTTTAAGTTTCTCCTGTGAAAAACGTTCAAGCCAATTATTGATAAAAACATTCAGAATGTCAAATCTATAAAAGAAATTTTGATTTATTAAAGTGTGCGCCCTAGTGTCAGGCAGGAGATCAGAGATGTTTTTGTCAGGAGTGTCGAGGTCTCTTTGTACCCTGTATATACAAATGTAATTTTCACAATGTAATCGAAAATGTTAGGTTATTTCAGATGTCAGATGACATCTGACAAAATATAAGGTCATGCAAGAGTAAATGAAACCATTGAGTTATTTGTCTAGATTTATTTGAAATTACATTTTGTCCCCAACATTTGGGTCTATATCATTATATATAAAAATAAACTATTTAAACATTATAACATTATAAATAAATATGTATTATTTATAATTTAACATTATTATAATCATCTATAATATTATATTATATTATAACATTATTATAACATTTAACGTTATTATAAATAACATAAAAATAAATTACATTGTGAATAAACTCAGTCTTCAAGAGGTACATCAGGACCCCCGGACGAGCAGATTTCCCATCAATCTGCCATCCTGTAGGAGGGACGAATGCCCACCTCTACTATCTTTGCACATTGTGACAATTTGGCTAGTGTACCATGCATTAACAAAAGGTGCTTCCATTAACAGTTGCCCATGCCCTTATTAAGATGCCCCGCATGGATATCAGCTAAAACAATTCATTGTGTTAGCCGTACCTGTACCATGTTGTAATAATTTCATTTTTGATTCTCTCTTGTTTATCTCATTTCAGAGGTCATATCAGCCGGCTGCAGAAGCTGACCCTCATCCAACCTATTACACTCCACATCCATTTCTAAATACATTCACACTCTTTGAAAATGATACTTTTTCACTCACATAGCCCACACCTTCGATGCCATATTCACACTAGCCTTTTTTCATTTTTGAAGTTTTCTGAAATAAAACATGGCTTTTCAATCCAACAATACACCAAACCATATCTGATCTAACTTTACAGGATGAAGAATCGCAGGATGCAGGATGATATTCGCTCCCTCACACACCCATTCTAAACCTCTTAGCATTTTTACACCACAAAAGAGCAATACCACCTCAGGGAAGCCCAGCCGATCCTCTCCAGCCGACTTCCACCATCATGCATTCCTGGGTATAAGTATGACTCTGTCATTTTCTTCCTATTTCACTTCCTACTAACATAGGAGCTCCTTCACTACCCTTCCCCCGTTTTTCCAGCTTTAACTTTTTTTCTCTCCAAATTTGAACTATCCCTTACTTCTATTCACTTTCATTCACCACAGCTCCGACCAATTCAGGGGTTGTCTCGAGTTTCAATTGCTGCAACAGCAACGCTCTAAATGAGCTCTCATACACTAACAATTTTTCTAAATACCACTATCGTTGCACTCCCCAGCACTAATACAGGAGTAAATGCTTCTGCGGGAGCACAAGTTGCCTCCATACTGACCCACTACACGGCTGCAGCTGCAGCTGCAGAAACGATCCGCTAAGTAATTTACATTACCGCGGGAGCACTCAAAACTCCAATACCGACTGTTGAGGTGCTCCGCTGATCTATACACACCATTTACACCACTGCAACTGCAGTGATGCTCTATCTGAGCCCCTTTTTCACTTTCATCTCTGCATATCACTGCTGATAGTATTTAACATTTCCGTGTGGGGCTCCAATACTGAGTATCACTGCACCTCTGCAACAGCAGAGACGCTTTGCCGAGCTTTATTTTCCCTCTGCACCACTGCTGCAGCAGTAAAGCTTTGCCTCAGCTGCAACTGCAGAGATGCCCGTTTAGCCTTCATTTCTGAACCACTGACTTCCATTGCACTTCTGTAACTGCAGCACCATTGCCGCAGAAGTGACGCTCTGCCTGAACAGTCTCCCAACAACAAATATAAACTCTGTCATTGGTCCTCTAACGCCTTTAAATCCTCAATTTGCCTCAGCCAATATCACCTCAGAGAAGCCTAGCTGATTCTCTGTAGCAGACTTCAACCTAGTTTCTAAGCAGCACGACTCTGTTCTCCCTACTTTTTGTCTTAGTAGCATAGGACTCATTTTTACTAACTTTCCCTTTTCTCTTCCTTTTCATAATTTTTCAATTTCACTTGCACTCATTCTCTGCAGCTTGGACTCGCACAGGGGTAGCCCCAATAGCTCACATAGACTTTCCAAAAATTTTACCATCATCACACTCCCTCGCAATAATACAGCCGTAAAGGCGTAGCGGGAACTTGTATTGCTTCCATACTTATCACCATCACACCTCCACAGGTGAAAAAAATATATAATTAAATGCAATTAAAATACACTTAAATACCCGCAAATACTTTTTAGTACATTATTTTTTTTTTGTTAAATAAAAGTTTGATGGTTTTGCACTATAAATATACTAATTAAAAGTATGTTTATACTTCAGTAGGACTTTAGTACACTTAACAAACGTATACTAAATACCAGTAATACTTAAATCAATTTTAAGTGTACTACAATAAAGTACACTACAGAAAAAAACATCCAAAAGAGTTTTATTAGTGTGTTTTTCAAAAGTGTGCTTCAAACATTAGTTGATTTTTAGTACACTGTTTAAATAAAACTAATCCTAAGTTTAAAATAAGTTAATATATAAAAAATCTATTACTAATGTATTGTAGTAGAAGTACATTTTTCCAAAAGTTGTACTTGAGTACACTTAATGTGAATGCAATATTATCAATAATGCTTAAATTGATTTTGAGTGTGGTAATTTTAAGTTTACATTAAATTTACTTTATTAAAAATCTATTAGTAATGTATTGTAGTAAAAGTACATTTTCCCAAAATACTTTTAATACAGTATTTAGCACACTTTTTTATACAATATGTATATTCTTTTAATATATTACTATTATACTTTAAATTAGTCATAAATACATTTATATATGTTTAAAAGTAGGGTTCAAGCATATTTCTAGTTGTAACTAAATATATTTTATAAAATACAGATATAGTATGTTCAAAGCACATTTTAGTTCAATTTCAGGGTGTCTCAAAATAGCACAGTTGAGTACACTTAGATGGTATTAAGTTTATCTTAACATATACTTAATACTATCTTTTAGTACATTAAGTACAAAATTAGTGTGCGAAAATAGAGCACTTTTAGTACATTACTGAAAAGTGTACTAAGTATACTTAAAGTGCATTTTAGTGCACTTTTTTTTTACCTGGGTCTACAGCAGCTCCACTTAATTACATTGCATTGTAGCATCATCTTATTTTCCATCACCGCACTCCCCGCAACAATACAGCCGTAAAGGCTTAGCGGGAACACACATTGCTTTCACACATATAATGCACCAGACACTGAATACCTATGCACCTCTGCAGCTCTGAGTCGCTCTACCAAGTCTTATTCCTTCTCTGCTACACAGCAGTTATTCGTCTCTTCAGAAGCTTTCTGACTTCCACCGCACCTCTGAAGTCGCAGAGACGCTCAGCCGAGCCTCATTTCCCCTCTATATCACTGCCGCAGCAGTGACGCTCAGCGAGTGCATATTCACTTCCATTTAGCATTCCACTACTGATACACTCTAGAACCCTAAAGCTACATTTCACTACTACCATAGTAAGCCTCTCTTACAGAGCTCAACCACATACGTTTCAAATCATTACATTTATCTCACTCTCCTGCCCGGTCCTAGCAAGTAATCCTGCCCCGGAAGCACATAATCGTATATAATCCATCTGCCAGTACACCACTCCTGTAGCAACGACCACTCCCATCTCACCTTTTAAACCCACACTAACCTCATTTTACTCCTTCAAGCTTTTCTAGTTCACTTTTTACTCAGCAGCCGGATATTGCTTTAATCTTCATTGCCTTTTGGGGGGTTCTTCAAATACGTGGCTGCTGTCCCGAGTAGAGCATTTTGGGGAGTTGTCGAGATCTACCTGAGCTCAAGGCTCCCCTCTCGCCCTGCAAACGGGAAGGAGCCCAGGGCTTAAGGACCTTTGAGCTCAGGGCTCTCTCCCCGGACAGCCAAACTTGCTTATAATCAATCATCAGCTAAGTGTGAGCTCTTGAAACCAGCCAAGGCTGGTTGGTTGGTTTTAGCTAGTCAACCAGGCTGGTTTTAGAGAGGGTTTGCCCATTTAGGCCTGGTCTTAGCTGGTCAGGCTGGGAGATGACCAGCTAAAAACGGCTTGACCAGCCTAGCCAGGCTGGGAGCTAGCCAAAACTAGCTATGTCTAGCCTAAACCAGGTTGGTCAAGCTGGTTTTAGCTGATTTAGGCTGGTCATTTTCCAGCCTGACCAGCTAAGACCAGGCTGGAAATGGCTGGAAACCAGCCTGAAAATGGCAAAACCCTTCTAAGACCTGGCTGGTCTACCAGCTAAAACCAGCGAACCAGCTTGGGTTGGTTTAAGCAGTTTTTTTTAGCAGGGCTGTGATATATGTTGTATCAGCCCAGAATTGTTCTAGACTTCTCATAACTAGGTTGTTCAAAAAATAAATGAATACAAATATTTACATTATTATTTAATACAGTGTACGGGATTCATATGTTCTTCTAATATGTTATTCACATAAGCAACCAGTAGATGGAAGCACCTGCATTTGGGATTATTTTAGCCCTGCAATGAGTTTGTGAATGGGACACCATGACATCTCAAAGACTGACAATGGGTTTGAGCAAAAAAATAACAGAAATGCTGGTATTGCATGATTTCTTTTAGCAGAAGCACTCATTATTTACATAATGTGTTGGAGTTTGTAGTGATATCTGTGAGTCTCTGAAAATTTGCTGCAAAATATTTTTCAAAACCACTAAATTTGGGGCATTAGGTTTACGGGTGTTAAGTGCTGCTGTAATGTCTAAATATTGATAATACTGTATGTGTGTGTTGGCCTGTCAGTGCAGTGGTTGAGGAGATTGACTCAAACATTCATTTCCTCCTGCTGACCTCCTGTCTCCAGCAGTGGACTCACACTGGGAATCTGCAGTGGTGATCGATTTGAGACGAGGGGCAGTATTTCCTCCTCAGGAGAATGCACAATTGAGATCAATTGATCGGGTTCACCGAGTATGCAGCAAGGAGAGTCATAATTAGTTACACTGTACAGTCTAGGTACGCTTGTTCAAGTAAATCTGTCTTTGTTAATTTAAGGGACTCAGCTGTTTTGTGTGTGACTGCAAGTCTATTCCTTGCATTCAAAATATTATAACAATCAGATTTGTTATTGCTTGAGCAAACAATTAGCAGGGCAACAAACTATTCAGTGTGATCATTTAGCTTTTTGTCTTAGAAAGCTTGTGAATTCAGAATTAAAAATATTAGTGCTTTTTCAAGGTATATGAATGATATGCAACCTGTTTTTTTCTGTTTATATATGTTGCTTTGGCTGTTTCACAAATGTTTCCATTTTAGCTCATTGCCCCAATGTGTGTTTTGCTCATTAAATTTCTTTGTGGTAGTCAGAGATTTCTCATTACAGGCTAAATGAGGTGCTGTTGCATAATTAGCCCACATTTAAAGTGTAGTACAACTTGCTTTTAGGCCACGGCACAGCTAAGAGTACTGTGTTCTTGCCTAATGGCTCGAAAATAATGGGAAGGTTTAGATTATCGCTCCATTTCCAAGGATACGGACCCATGACTGATTTATCTGCTTTGCTCTTAATTAAGTCATGCTTCACATGTTATATTTATATGGCTGATTATTTGTTTAAAAATGGTCTGGTAATTTATTTCTTTTTTGGGAAATTTAGATTAAGCTTTAATATACATTTGTTATTATTTGTTAGCATAATTTTATACCTATTTAAGTCATTTCAGTAACTGTCTCATAATCTTTAAAATTTGAAATAAGATTATTTTCATTTAAATCATTTATTTGCAGAAAGTGATCATGTGTTAATTGTTCAGATCTGAACTATAGGTGGAAACGTAGGCTATTCTTTTTTAAATCTATACGTAAATGTGTGTAAATGTAAATATACTTTATGTATTTTTATCCATAATATGTTTTTACGTCAGAAGAGAAAATAAACATATATTTGATGGAATCATCCTGATTTTCTTTATTACAACAAATTGAAAAATAACAATGTGTTTGAAAATTAGAATAAAAACGGTGGCACCATGCTAGTCAGCTAACCTTTAAAATCAAAATGTCAATGATAAAACATTATTTGCATATATGTTATAAAGGTTATGCTTTTTTTTAGCTAATTAAAAAAATTGTGTAAAAAAATTTTTTTTACACAAATTTGTTTTACATAACACCCTAGATCAGAGATGCCCAAGGGCCCGCGGGCCAAAGTTGGCCCATGGTAACCTTTGATTGGGCTCGCCATCCCATCTGAGAAGAGGTGGAGAATGATGGGGATGGTTTAGAGATTGACATTTCAAATTTAAATTAATCTTTTATTTGTTCGTTGTATTGTAAAGCTACAAAAAAGCTAAGTGAAGTTAAATGTTTTAATTCAAATGTTGCCATTTAATCAGATTTTTAAAATGTAGATACTGTCACTAAAGGCAGATTCTGCTTGTGTATTCAGCATTGAACTCCACTGTGTTATAAATGTGATTGTTTTTGTATTTAATTGCAATAAATTATCATTTAAACAGTTATACTGCATTACATACTGTCATGTTCCACCAAGTCATGTTTTCTATTTATTTAAAAATTTTATTAAATAAATTAGGAAATGACATATGTCTCTCGATGATATTTGTTTTTTGGTCCTATGAGAAAAAGTTTGGGCACCCCTTCCCTACTGTTGCTGAAATGCGACAATATTACTTAATACCAAAAGGGGGCAGTAGTGTTTCAAAATGCCAGCTTGCGTCGATGCACTTCATTAGTGAGGTTTTGTCACTCACCGTTTCCCATAACCCGTGTCATTTCTTCTAATAGTCGGAGCAGGAGAGGCACTGGAGGATTCAGGGAAGATCGCAACTTCATTTCTGCATTTCATTTCACGCATTTTAATGTTTTTTTTTTATGTGAGAACAAGCGATTTCCACTGACATTGCGACAATAAGAGTAGCGCGCAATTAAAGCACGATTAAATTCGTATTGTTTAACAGATCAACAAATAAGACGTCAATAAATATGTTTTAGTAGCATGCAAGTCTAAGACACTGCAAAGACTTCATCCCATGAACTCCATACGCCCTAAATCTGTGCTTTGATTTTTCAATTGTTCACTTTGTAGTTCTAGTCAAAGTAACAGGGTTTTAGGGAGAAAAAAAAACAAAACCTCCAGCATGCAGACAGCGCGTGTGAGCGTTCAGGGGAGGGCGAAATGAGTGATGCTGCTGAGCCAATGGAGATACTCGCGCGAGGAGAGGAGCATCTGTCCGAAACCTAAACTAACCGCTGGCACAATAACGCGACTGAGGAGCGCGTCGAGCTCATCTTCTGACTGAACTTTCAAGACTTTGGGAGATTCGCAGGTGCTGGACGACAAAATAAGGTAATAATTAGCACGAGAAGCTTATTATGGAAAGTTTTATCGTGCTATTTTGCACAGACTCGAAGCGCATGGTTTGGTGACAGACTGCAGTTTGTGCATGTGTTGGAGAACAGCCACTGTATCACTATCTTTGTTTCAATACTAGCAAATAAGGATTAAATGGCATTAATTAACATTATATATTTTTTATTGCATATTTTCACGTCGTTTGGAAAACACGCCATAATATTTGACTGGTATTTTAAGCTTTTAACTATGTTTTTGTATCTATATTTTAATCTGAATATTTTCGTTGATGTATGCTTGTATGTACTGGCTGTATATACACATTCAAGTTTACGACTGGTTGGAAGGTGGTCTTGCGCTCCATGCAGCGTGTCTTCAGTGTTCACGGCTTTTGGAGAGGCTGTTCCGCATTAGATCAGCTCTGCACAACCCTCAGCTGATAACATGCTCAAGTGCTTCAAAGGCTCTCAGGGTTTTCGCTAAGAGACCGGCCAATTCTTATTATGGAGAATTGTTGTTTAGTGTGAGGCAGCCAACTTTATTATTCGCTTGATTAAACAAATCCAATAACAACAAGTGCTTATAGTCACAGAACACAGTACTGCAGTGATCTCGCTTAATTTAATCACCTGTTGCATGGCTGTTCTCTTTCATTATCAATGTGAGATTAATGCTTCAGCAGAAGCACTTTACAAGCTCAGGGTAAAACTAGCAGTTGTGCTCTTAATCTGTTTAAGCTTATATTTTGTGTAACTTGTCTGGTCGTCCACAGCCTTGAGCATGTTGTTTTTGTTGTTTTGAGATTAATGTTTCATTTTTAAGCAGATACTTTGAATAATATTGACATAAATAATATTGAAAAATATGTAATTATTTACTTCGATCATATATAACCTGCCTCTATTACAAACAGGTCGATTGCAAACAGGTGTCCTGACATTTTATACCACCCATTAGATTTTAATACCAGCACTGTATTTGAATGGTTCTGAGGTTGGGGTTAGGAATTAGGTAGGTTAGGGTGGCGATATTACAGTTTCATATCACACTACTGCACATTAAAACTTACACTGGTAGCTAAAACTGATGAGTAGCATATTGCATCGTCAAAATGTGCTACCTACTTTTTGAATGGGAGGTAGGACAATCTGACAAGATAGGGCGAATCGGCAGAACACTGGAACCAATTTGTTTCTTCTGTGGAACATGAAATAATTAATTTTGTAAAATAAAGTGGGCTTCAGTGGTCACAAGGTATATGGGCCTGTATAAGATTCTGACGGTATGATTACAGTACCTTGGATAAAAATATCACAGTTTCACCATATTGTGATTACTGCTCAGAAATATATTCTTTCTAAATGTTTGTGTAAAAGCAAAAAAATTCCCTTTTGAACACAATATGTTTTATTTTGAGAAACATTTCAAATATTTTAAAAGAGTAACATGCCAGGCTAAATAATGAAAATTAATAATTGACTTCTGCTGCCTTCATTTATTTAGATTTGTTTTTACAATTTAAAACAGCATCTTTGGAGATCTTTGCTGCTCGAAAAAAGCAACAAAAAAGTAGATAAAAAATCGTAAACATACCTTAGGAACAATATTGCAGAAAATTTTGATGGTTATAAAACTTTGACTTTTCTAAACTAAGATATACCTTGAAACGTTTATCGTCCCATGCCTAGTGGTCACTTTGTTTTACAAATCATACATGTTTGGAACAAAATGAGCGTAAGGAAATGACATAATAATTTTTTAGTTTTGGGAAAGCTTTCTCTTTAAGTGAAATGATAAATGAGGGGGAAATGTAATGTAATGGAATCTTAAATTTGTGATTTATTTGTCTGGGGAAATGTGAATTTAGAATGTGTGTAATGTGCATTAATAAGGACACTAAAGTCTGCAGCCCCCACTGTCTGCAGTGCTTCTATTGAGATTTGTGGAGTGACTTGCTCTTACTTGCTGGACTCCAGTACAAATTCATGGCAACTCATCTTTATTTCTATAGCGCTTTTACAATGTTGATTGTGTCAAAGCAGCTTAAAATAGAAAGTGTAGTAAATTAAAATATTGTCAGTCCAGTTTTCAGAGTTTAAATTCAGTTTAGTTCAATTCAGTGTGGTTTAAAAAAAGAAAATCCATCGATGCGCAGCTCCACAAGACCCAAACCAAGCAAGTCGTAGTAATAGAGGAAAAACATTTCAGATTAGAAGCATGTTTTGATTTGATTCATAAGTGTGAACGCTGCCATTCAAATCTTGGTGCACATCAAACAGGCAGACCAAGACCATGCACTGAAAGAGTCTCGGTCCACTTCCAAACATACTCTGCTGGTGTGGATTTACTAAAATATGAATGCAACAGGGACTAAAAATAGGACATCACAGGATCTGACCATAAGTACTGAATGCCAAAGAAGTCCTGCTGTTTTATTGTGATTGTAGCAATGCTATCTATAATTCAGTACTGGCAATGACAACAAGTCATCTTGCAGATCTTAATTTGTGTGAGCAGTGGACAAATTTATGGCTCTGTTTTTACTCATTTACAAAATTAAGCTCTTCATTATAAAAACACTATCACATCTATTTACTCATAATGAGCCTCAGCCCAATGCTCAGCATTATTTTGTAACTCTGATTAAGTTCTGTTGTGAAATAAATCACACTATTCTTAGTGTTGTATCTTCAAATTCGGCCTTAAAAATTACAGTTTTAATGATAAGCAAGGTATAGGCATGGGCAGATATAAGTTTTTGACAGTATTGTAACGTTGGATAAAAATATTGCGGCCTCACAGTATCACGGTGTTGTGATTACTGCTCTAAAATAAGCTCTTTTTAAATGTCTGGGTAAAAAACAACAACTTTCATCCCCATTTAACACAATATATGTTTATTTTAGGAAATATTTTTAATATTTTGGAACAGTAATCATGTCAGGTGAAAGAATTTAAATAATTAATTAGTTTAAAAAAGCACATATTTCTTAAAAACACATTAAAAAAACCCTAACATATTCCTTAGGAACAGTAAATGTTGCGGTTTTAAAACCTTGACTTTTCCAAACCGCAGTAAATCTTTAAACCGGTTATCATCTCATAAAGCAAACAATGAGCAAAAGTATTATTTTCTTTTGTTTTAACCAAACTACACAGCCATAATCGTCAAGCATTTTAGACTGACCACTTACGTTCTGTTTGATTGTTAAGGTGGTGTTTTAAATGCTTTGCTGCATTACTCTGAACTCTTCTGCTTAATGATTCTGTCTCGTGCTTATCCCTGGAGGCGGTAATTACTGCCTTGCGTGCGGACGTGATAACCTTCGTCTGCTTGGCGATCATTTGCATAATCATTAGAAAAATTAACGTGCGCTTTTTTCCATTTACACCACAGGCTGATATGCAAGAGGCTGCTTTGTCATCTGGTAATTAATGAGAAATGTAATGGGATGTGTGTGCTCCCAATAAACGCCGTCTTTTATGGCTCTGTGTAGTTTCTGGATTTAAGGGACGTGCCTCTTCACCCCCTGTTCAATGTGACCTGACACCAATTTTGCTAAATAACATAAAGTCCCCAGAAAACGGAGAACTGGTAAACCCTTTAACCCAGATGCCATGAAAAGAGAAGCTTGAGGGATAATTCACGGAAAGCAGAAAGTCATATCTAGAGACTGCAGTCTGTGCCGTGATCATTTAAAGAAAAGAATGAGGGGAAAACGCGACTGAATTTAAATTAAACGCCACCAATCCTTAAAGTACCATCAGTTCATTGTTACGTAGATGTCAATCCATGTCCAAGTGCCGGGCAATTAACCGCCTAATCCACTCATTTAATTTTCATTAAGTCAGTTGGCTGAAGGGGCTTTCGTACTTCAGAATCACAGCTATTTCAGACGCTCGCTGTGCTGTCAAACATCAGAGATGACACTACAATCATACATACACAATTATAGCCGACTATTAGGCCAAAAGCACCTTATTTGAATCAATATGCAAATGTAAAAAGATGATCGTGTGTGGATTTCCAATTATACTCACCTTCCCTGTATTGACTTATGAATAGTTAAATCTAGTCTCACACATAACCAGAGGGAACGGTGAAGACGGCTAATAAAGGCCTGGAGCTTCCTGTGAAGTGCTCTTCCACCACAGAGAAAGTATCCGGTCGCTGGAGATGGATGGCCTTTGAGTACACTCACTTAGCCATCGGCCCCTGGGTCCCCTTCACAGCCCCTAAACCCTACAGAGTTTACAACATTAATTATAGACTTGTTAATAGCTCTCCAGAGAACATGCTCACATTAATATGCTTTGAATTTCACACCACCCACTCGCACACCAACACACCTATGCACAAACAGACTGTTTGGTGAAAGGTTGGTTATTTGGCAACGGCGACTTTCATGTGCATGCAGAGAGAAGAAAGGGCCACTGTGTCTTTGTATTTTAAAATAGCATTTATAAATGAGCTTGAATATTATTAGGATAATCTGTGTTTCAGGTTATGCAGAACATCATTTTGTTGCTGATGGCTTAAAGGGATAGTTTACCAAAGATTTGTTTAAATTTACACTTCAGTATGATGCCTAATTCTTCACTATTTAAAGTCAGTTTATAAATGAAACATTTTTCCTTGTAGTCATTCATACAATTCATGTTAATGGTTTCCAGCACTGTTAGTTAGGCTTGTCATGATGTTTATTCTTCGTGGGACGAAATATAGCACCAAAATTATAACTATAATAGTGTATAAAGCGCACTCTACCAAAGAACACAAAATATTTTATTCTTAAGAATATTTCATTTAATTATAGTCATTTTAACAATTTAATAATTAGGTATTTGAATCAGAATGTGAAAACATGTATCATAAACATTCATTCATTCATTCAAGTTCATTATTTATCAGGGATCACCACAGCGGAATGAACCTCCAACTATTCTGGCATATGTTTTAAGCAGCAAATACTCTTCCAGCTACATCTCAGTCC